CAAAGATTTGGCTATGACCGGTCAGGATATGATGTGGAGGAGTCTGATGGTGGCGATGAAGATGAAAATGACAATGAGGATGATGATGAAGACAGCCAGGCTGAGTCAGTGCTATCCACCACGCCCTCGGTGACGGCCAGCCCCCAGCACCACCCCTCTCGCCATGGCCTGCAGGATGCCGCCAGCACCGACGACGACATCAGGCTTCCAGACTGCTTCACTGGGGCGCACACGGACTCAATGGACGGTCTCCCAAAAGCGCTGCTGACCAAGATGACTGTCCTTAGCACGGTGCAGTCGGTCAGCAGGACCTCCAGGTCTCCAGCAGAATCCACCCATCAGGAAGCACATGAGGACAAAGCCCAGGAGAGAGGAGTGGGTCCCTGTGGTGCTGATGTGGTACTGACGGACATTGCTCCTGCATCTCCAGGTCGCCAGATGTCTGTGGATTACCCTGATCCAGATACAGCCTTGGGCCACTCCTTAATATCAACTGCAGCTCTTACAAAGGTAGGAGTGTCTAAAATCAGGGAAAGAGTGGGATTTTAAGTCCTCCTTCTAAAAATATCTTTTTGGAGATTTTTCGAAGAACAAAATGTTTGTCTTTCCCTTCATTCTTGGTGATGAGTCTTTCAGAAGATTTAAAATTAGTCCAAGCTCAAATATATAGGACTGTAGACACAAGGATGTTGTAGGAGCATTTCTTTTCAAATTCTTAAATTTGGTTGTATTCTTCCTGAAAGGTTTAATTGTAATATAGTCATTTCAGCTAATGTTTGGAGCTAGTAGATTGTATTACAAATCAGAAGGAAATAACAAATACATAACATGAACATATGGTGGTGGTTGTTTTCTGGGGAAAGTGATAGAATTCAGCAATCATTTCACTCTGAAATATGATGATACAATCATGGGTAATTCCAAAGGGAAATTAATCTAGTCCCAAAGTTTTTTGCCTTATCACTAAAAAAAATGGTGCAATTGTTTATCTATCCTCCAAATATGCTTAGTAGTAGAATTAGAAAGAGCACCAGATGTTCAAGGAAACTAGGAGATTGCCCTTGCACAGTAACAAAAGCAGAGATGAACACAGGACTGAGACCCGAGTTCCCAGTGCTCTCAGCTTTTGTCCAAGCTGAAAGAAGACTTTAATTAGAAAATGATGTATTTTGCCCAGGTACGTGTCAGACGTGGATTTTCAAAGCATGTGCAAAACGATGCGGTCAGTGTGTGTGCAGGTCTGTGGGAGCATTCAGTAATTTTGGCAACTGTGTTTTTTTAAAACTGTGCTCATGAAATCACAGAGGGAAGTGGCTGGCAGGTACTGAGCCTTTTTCAATTCAGCAATGGCTTTAACGGACTGTGATGGGGATGGTAGAAGTCACCATACTGACCCTAAAGATAGCTTTTGGAATTTTTAATTCTTGCTACAGACCGTGAAGGCATTCGAGCTTTTCAGAGAAATGGTCAAAAAAAATGAGATGCACAGTAGTTTAATTAAAGGGGTAGTCAAAGCACTGCCTTCTCTATGATGAATGTAATATTTAGAAATATTATATAGAAGCAATTAATCATTTAGGTTGGAAAAAAATCTTGAGATCATCAAGCCCAAGCCTAAACCTAACTGCATGCAGTTACTGAAAAAAATGTAGCAGAAAATTTTCAAAAGCATAAAAAGTAAAAATTTCAATCTGTTTTAAGTACTTAGTGGCTTGTTTTTTTCTTTGAAAATTTACACTACTAGATTTATTTTTTACACAGTTCGAGATAGCAAACTCTTGACATGGAGAAACAGTAAAAATTATTGCTGAATTTTATTGTTTGACACAGGTTCATCCCTGCTTGTAGGAACTGTGAGTTAATGTGGCAAATATAAATTGGAGTGAGTTTGTAATATGACAGAGAATAAAATTAAGTGGTCTCTGATTGCTGTGTATGCCTGCCATAAAATGGGAAGGGTCCTAGTATTTGGAGTTTAGGTTCCATTGTTGCCAGTGGATACCAGAAGGACATTTAACTGAGTGTACTCCTTCATTAAATAGAACCAGTGAAGCCTCAGGTAAATATTCATGCAAGTAAAAATGTTGAACGGTATTCATTTATATATCTCTAATAATTGCCTACATTAATGTATTAAAAAAAAAAAAATAGAAGGCATGTAAGTAATACGAGGAAGTAATTCCTTTCCAGATTTTCTTTTCCTTTCCCAGACCAAAAGAAGCATCAGCCTTATGTCTCCAGTGGTTAATCTACAGTCTGTTCCTGTTGTGAATGGCTGTGGATCCCAGTTCTTGCACTCAAGAAAAAGAGTCTGCATAGCTCAGGAAGGTTGTTGTACATTCCTTTGAAAGCGTCCATACCAGTTTATCAGGATCTCTTGTGAGGTGTCAGTTCTGAGAAACATGTTGACTTCTTTCTCACACCTATCTTCTCATTTAGACAGAACGGCACTGCATAGCTGCTTAAACATATTCTCCCTTTGCCAATACATTTTCTATGAGCAGATTTCAAAAGCATTTCTGTCTGGTTTTGAGATTTTTGCTTGCTCTAGAGAATTTTTGAGAGTCAGGACTGTAAAAACTAAGTAAGGTTGCACCAGTGTGTGTGCATGTGTGTGTGCATGTGTGTGTGTGTGATGAATGTGCCAAAAATGAAAAGATAACCATGAGATCACAATTGTACTTTCAGACCAGTCATTTTAGGAGGTTCTAGGAAAGGAGTTGCAAGCCTTGGCAGTAATAGGTTGTAGGAGAAGAAAAGGGAGGATAAAAACAGCATTATAAATCCAGGTGTGTGCACCAAATAAATCACAGTGAGCGGACACAGCAATGGATCCCACATCTCACTCCAGTATCCACCCATCACACATGTGGATCCCACATCTCACTCCAGTATCCACCCATCACCTCCACCTCTGCAGAAGCTGTAGTTGTCAGCCATCTCCTGTCATTGTCTACCCTGTCTGTCACATTAGAAGCACCTATGACAAACGTGCCTGACGTTGCCTCTGCCTGCTGTAGGCTGTAATGCCTTCATGAGAGGATCCCAGTGCATCAAAAATGCCAGCTTATGCTTATTTAACCATCTTGCCTGAGGTGATTTCCACATAAAGCAGCTCTCCAAAGTCTTCTTGCCACGTAAAACACATGTGCAAAAGATACTCAGCAATGTTTTTGAGCGCTAGTGTTTGAGAGAAATTAAGCAAGGGTAATTAGGAGAGGAAAATGCAATTAGTGAGTGAGGAAGGAGGTGGAAAAAGAAAGGAAGGAAATCAGTTCATTGTTTAAGCTGAACACTATATACTATGAACCATTTTGTTGTTGTTCTTTCTTAAAAGGGGGCATGGGAAGCACTCCCAGCTCCCTCTTGGTCGCTGAAGGGCAGTGGTGGCTGCCACATTAACAGACCTGTATTGTTCTCTCCCAGAGCACGCCCTCCATCAGCTTGCCGTCCTCGCTGGCAGACCACAGTATGCCGACGACAGCGCCGTCACCCTACACCGAAATCCCGGAGGAGAAGCCAGCTGCTGAGCCGAGAGCTCCCCAGACTCACCTCTTCAGCCACCTGCCCCTGCACTCGCAGCGGCAAGCCAAGGCTCCCTACAGCATGGTGCCGGTCGGGGGCATCCAGGTGGTCCCTGCCGGCCTAGCTACCTACTCCACCTTCGTTCCCATCCAGGCAGGGCCAGTGCAACTCACTATCCCAGCTGTGAGCGTCATTCACAGAACTACCAGCGCCCTGGGCGAGACGGGCGGCACGGCCACCGGCACCACCACGAATCCCGTGGGAGTCACCGAGGTGAACAGCGTGGTGCCGTGCATTCCCATCGGCCAGGTGAGCGTGCCGGGCATTCAGGGGCTCGGCACGCCCAGCCTGCAGCCTCTGCCGCCGCTGGGCATGGAGACAGTGAACATCCTGGGCCTGGCAAACACCAACATCGCCCCGCAGATGCGCCCGCCGGGAATTACCCTCAATGCCGTGGGCCTCCAGGTGCTGGCGGCTGGCGCAGCCCCGCAGGGCACCCCCAGCCCGCAGGGACATCTTCCTGGCCTGCAGATCCTGAACATCGCCCTGCCCACCCTCATCCCCTCTGTCAGCCCCGCCAGCACCAAGGGGCACGGCGCCTCTGAGGCACCCAACGCAGGCTCCAAAGCCGGCGAGGTCCAGCCGGAGCCAGCTCCTGTCGGCTTCCTCACGGCCGAGGCTGGCCAGGCCGGGCGGGATGCTTCTCCTCAGGTGGTGGGTGGCGGCCAGCGGTGCGGCGGGAAGAGCCATCCCGAGCCCACCCCGGTGACCAACCCCGTTGGTCCCAGGAAGGCTGATCCTGAAAAGACTGACCTCGCAAACCCCAGCAAGCCAAAGCGTGACCTCCCTGCCCTCCAGGTGAGGAGGGCTGCCCCGGCAGAGCCCCGCTCCAAGGTGAATCCCAACGCATTAACCAAGTCCCCTGTGCACCGAACTGTCACCCCAGACAGACAGGTGCCCAGGCCAGCCGCCCCGCCCCAGCGGCAAAACCCGGTGCAGTTTAGCGATGGCAGCAGTGACGATGAGGATAGACTTGTAATAGCAACCTAGGTTTTGTTTTTCATTGTGTTTTTATTTTTAGAGTTTTTTGGGTTTTTTTTATAACACTTGTAGGTTTCTTTGCAAACCTTCCTTTCCTTAAAGCACATTTTTCTGACACAAACTCATTACTAATCTTCGTGCAATCATGAACTCTTGACCAATAATTGTTGTTTCTTGTCAGCTCCAGCCATTTTTGTACATGTTGTATAGACGATTGTGCCTTTTTGGAGTTTTATGTTTAGAAACCTGTACAGATTGTTGAATATATATATATAACATATATATATATAAAATATGTATATTAAAACCAGGTAGTTGCTTGTGTTTAGTAAGTAAACATCCTATGTCAGATAAATAAAGGATTAAATTATATGTTGCACTGTTAAATGTAAATTTTTATGGCTGTGGGACAAAGTTTCTGTGTACAGATCTAGTATGTAAAACTCCATATTTATTGTATCCATATTAGTCTTGGAAAAGGGTCTGTCCATCTTTCTTGTGTAAGACGGTAGCTTTACACTTCAAAGAGAAATACAGTATCTGTGTTACAAAATATTACAGTAAAATTTTGTTTACTGACTTTACCATTGCTTATGTTGTGCCTTCTTGATGCAGTCCAGTAGCTAGAGAGTTGCTTGACTCATTCCTTTCAGTGCCCTTCCAGCTGGTTCAGCTTGAAAGGATCTGGTGGTGGTAAAAGCCCCTGTAGTCACCTGCCATGGGAGAGAGAATAACTCATTGGACTTTACTTGAAGTAAAATCTTCCATTTCAAAACATCCAGCAATTGCAGAGTGGGGAGGAAGTCCCTCAGCTTTCCATAGAGCAAGTATCCAATCCACCTCGTGTTTCTTTCCTGACTAAAATTTGAAGATTTCCCTGAGGGAAAATGGCAAAAGGGTCACAATGAAATATTTTTTTATTTGTAATCTTGAACTATAAAACCACTTTTTACTGACATTAAAATGTTGTTACACAAGAAAGGAATAATTCTTTGTGTGTTAATTGCAAAATCCAAAATACAGTTGGTGAAAATGCCACTACTGTAATGAGGGTTTGGCATTACTGATAACCATCAACTTCTTAGGAGACTGCATTTCAGGAGATCTTCATTTACAGGTAGACAAAGCCATTTTCTCCCTAACTACAGTCTACTCATGCAGGGAAAGAAGACAGGACTAAAGGTTTTACACATACAGTTAATTTGCTGTTTTTACAACAAACCTGTCATATTGGGCATACAAAACATGGGTGGGTCCTGGAATAATGAAATTTAACAGTCTTCTGTTTGCACATAGTGAGAACAATATAAATTATCACTGAATTGCTGAGGCGTTCCAACTGTGGCAGGAGACACATCTTAAAAGTGACAGGGCTAGAAGTTTCAAATTGACTTGGGATTCATGCTGTAATTTTTAAGTAGAGTTGGTTTCCTGCTGTGTCCTTTTATCACGTTGTTACCGAAGTTTTTATAACCCCTTTAATAGCCAAATTCAAGTAGGAAACTGGAAGGTGTAAATTAAAAGCACGATCACCTTTATGGAATTAACAAGGATGAACTCACATGAAACAACTGGAAGGAAAGGACAGGAAGCAAATCTGGAAAAAAAGGGAGCGAATTTTAATGTGAGCTGGGCTGCATTGTTCACAGATTAATTCCTGTATCCATCTCAAGGAAGTAATTTATACCTTGCACTGCTCATATTCAAAAGCAGCACTACCCTAGATCCATTTTTAACTTTACACTGTCTTTTGTACAGTACTCACATTGTACTCATTACATTATTGCATTACAGAGTGTTGTAAAACTGTAGGCGATGTTGAATGAGCTTTATTAACTTCCAGAAAGAGCACTTCAGTACCAGAAATCCATTTCTATTACTCGTGATTATCAGCAATTGTACTAATCTAGCAATTAGGAACACACACACACTAGAAAGGTGAAATTACTCCTGTCTGTGACATGAATGTGCAGAGCCTCACTGAGGGCCCGAGCACCCGAACCACCAAGCACTCTCAACTCACACTGAGCTTAATGAGATTAAAGAGTCCTCGGCTCCCCACAGTGCCAGACTTCAAATTTGTGAGTGTCTTATGTGCAACCCCTGTGTGAAGTGTCACTGTGCATTTGTACGTTCTTTTTAGTGGTGTCAATGTGTCTTGTACCATTATCATTTTTACCTATGTGAAATTACCCCAACCGGCCAAAGCTAGAACCGAAACATTGCTGTGTAACATGTGCTTTGAGAGCCTGAAGCTTTTTCTAATAGAATCAGGTGACAGTTTGCAGTTAATGAACTCAAGAAATTTTGCATAACTTTCAGCTCCTTTGAAATGGACACCTACCAGCAAACTAGAGCTATGATGATTAATTTGAGCATATTTGTCTAAAATATGACCCAAAAAAAAGATGAAAGAATCAGATAGCTTTACAGCAAAGTAAAACTATACAAAATTTTGAATGCTATCACTACTTATTACCATTTTCCTAAGGCAGCAGTGGGTAAGGAATTGCTGTTGCACATGCCCCTGAGTCCTGATTTTACTAAACTCCAGAGATTTACTGTATACACATCTTAAATATTTACTTGACGAGCAATTTGTGGTGCACTCGTATTCTGCTCAGGATTAATTCCATGAAGTCTCCAATTTAACAGAAAATTCAGCTTGGTGAACTGGGTGATTGCATCTGTCTTTTCTGTTCTAGGTGTTTTGAAGACATCAAGGGCAAGAGATGGAAGCATGTCTTGAAGAGTAAGAATGACATGACAACAGATATGTTAAAAAGAGGAATGTTAAGATGTGTCATTTGGTAAGTTCATTTTAGGACAATAGGGAGAAAGGACCAAGAGAGTGGGCACTGATTCAGCCATAAGGCCCAGAAGACGTGAGTTGCTTCTGGGGCTGTAAAGCTGCAGGTCAAGAGATCCAAGGACAAATACTGAATCATCACTTAGCCAGGCAAAGCAGATAAGCCACATTTGAAGCAGGAACTCTACTATTAGCTGGTAGTTGCAGATATATCTGATGTTCACATCAAGGCTGGAGGAAATCAGTTTTGTAGAAGACTGTGGTCTTGAATATTACACTGTTTCCCTTCCCTCTAGGATGTTTCCAAATGGATATTCCTTGAGTTGCCTCTACAGCTTGCAACAAGAATAAACTAATTAGGAGTGTGACCAGACCTGATAGAACTCTGTAAACTCTGTACATCTCCTCTGTTAGTGCCTGTAACCAACACCTATAAATACGTCAGCACACATGAGTGTCCTGCGTGAGCATAAGCCTGTGACTGCTGTGTTAGCAATTACATTTTCATTTTGATTTAATTAATTTTGTTTTAAATTGTGTTGTATCTTTTATTGTCTTGTCCAGAGTTATCAGTGATGAGGAAATAACATTCCCCTTGCCACAAGGATCCTTCTGTTCAAAGCAGTAGCAAACATCTCAGAAACCTGCCAGTACAGTATTATGCTGCTCTTCAGATGGTGTGAATTATCACAGCTGAATTGGAATAAATAATACCGGGCTGTTTACTCAGGGATCCGTTTTTAATGACTGTCAGACACCCTCTGGCAAATCCAGCACAGCTGTTTAAACATTAAAGGGCCAGAACAAGTGTTGCCCCTTGGTGTACCCAGGTACACTCTGGCATCTTCTCACGACGTATTCCCATTAGGAGAGTGCAAGCAGGTGCCAGCTAAAGGCTGGGTACAAATACAACCAGAGTACAGTTACAGCACAGCCAGCTTCTGTGGGATCCGTGCAGATGCTTCTCTGTGATCTGTCAAAAGCCCTCACTAGAAAAAGAATCAGTGGCCAGTGGCCTGTAGCTCTTTCAACTAGACCTTACTTGGTTTCTCTTTGCAATACATGATGTTTGCTGGTGATGTGGGTACCTGATTTTGGAGGCAGCATGTCCATATAATAACAATAATAATGGGTTTGGAACATGAACTATATTAAATGTGCCTGTGTTTCCTTTTGGGGCTCTAATAAGCTACAGCACGGCCTACCTGTCACTTCTTAGGTCAAGAACTAAACCAGAGACAGATATGTCCAATGTCCTGGCCTCAGATCTCTTGACCTGTAGCATTACATCCCCAGATGCAACTCCCAGCTTCTGGACCACAGCTGAAATAAAGTACTCTGTGGGTGCAGGGATACTCTGCTCTGCTTTGGTTACTGCTGCTACACACACCCTTCTCCCTTTCTTTCTCAAGTAATTTGCTGAGCTTCAGGTTGCTGTAAATTATGCCCTGAAGCTAGAGCAGCCCACACTTGGTCCATATCACCCAGTGTCCTGCCAGGAAGTCTGACAGTAGAGTTTTGCATACACATTCAAGTGCCCATCACATGCATTTCATCTCAGACAACCTATGTAAGCTGAGCACAATATGGCCCACCTCAGAGCCAGAGATGTACCATGAAACAGACATACCATGCCTTACACTTAGCTAAATATTTTGAATGGTTTCTTAAGAGATTTTTCTTGCCTTGAGTTTACTGACATGTGGTTAAACAGAATATAAAATTTATTTGTCACTATATAACTTACTCCAGAAATCTTCATTTTTTGCAAGATAATCCTCACTAAGCTTTCATAAACACTGTCGTTTAAACCTGTAAACTGCCCTTCAAACATGTGCTTAACATTGGGACAGTTTCATCAAAACAAAATAAAAAAATTTCAGTTTTAGCATGAGTGACTTGCCAAGAACTATGGAAACCAAACAATCCACAAGCGAGAGTACTCACTTAAGATACCTTCAGCTTACTTATCTGATGGGCCACTGCTTCATTGCTTTGGAAAGATCCTCTGAGATGAGTATGACCATCTCCTCCTTTCCTTGCTTTCCTGGTTTTTCATGGGAGCAGAAAATGTCACCCATCTTAGGTGACTTCTGGCCAGTCTCTGAATATGAATGTTACATTATGAATTACTAAAAAAAACATGGCTAGAATTGTCTTCCCATGTCTTAGGGAAATTTCTGTTCCCTGTAAGGAGTCTCAGCACCTACAGACGGTCTTTTTAAATGATACCTAAAACACCAAAGACTTAACACTATTTCTGGCTCATATCTTTGAGGATAAGACCCCTGTCTTAGTTCTAGACACTGCACTGCTGATTCTGTTACTGGCTTAGGATGAAAACAAGCTACTTTAAAGTACTTCAAATTGATTATTAGGTAATTTTATATGGAATGTTTGTGGGTGGATGAGCATACAGCAACAAGGGTGTTAGAGCTTCTAACTCATTGATTTGATGTTCATGTTTTGTTCCAGGAATGTTAAATCGCAGAAAAAAAAAAAAAGGTGTTGTTGCCATTTATGTTTGTCTGTACATTTCTCCTCTTTATACTGAACAGACTACTCAAAATGTTAGGAGGTGACTAGTGATTTTCAGATATTCCATGAGATCTAAGGAAACCATGCTAGCTGAAAGATGGCAAGGCTTTACATTCCGATGGTTCAGTCATGGAAACAAAACTTAGAGTTCTAAGATGAGTCAATTAGCTAGGCATGCTTAGTTTTCTTTGGTAATTGTAGACTTGTTTTCCCCAATAAGGTCAAATGTTAAGGCTTGTTTGGTTTTGTGGCCGTGCTCTTTAGTGTATTTGAAATCCATTACCATGCATGAGGCATTTGTGCTGAAAATGGGCCAACTGAAGGCTGTTTGTAAAGTTAAATGCCCCCAGCATTTCCTCTTTTTGTTGAGTTTAGGCAGTTACAACATCCCTTTGGGCTTCAGGAGTTCCATTTGCAGGTCTGAGATGTTTTGGTGCTTGTACCTAAATATCTTAGGGTAGGATTCCTCCTTCTGAGAAAGAGAGCATATGACACACATGAAAGTTCCATCTCATATAATAAATAATAAGCACTCCATTAAAATCACTGACCGCTAAGAGCCATTTGCTACTCCATCATCTTCCTGCTCCAGATCCAGGTATGGAAGTGAGTTTAGAGCCACTTGTTGGCACAGCTCTCATCCCCATTGCAGCCCCACTTTCATGAGGGGTTTTTCACAGAGTGCCTGTGGAAGGCAAGAGCAATCCCTGGACATGAACTTGCAGTGTGGGACACAGTACAGAGGGAGCATCACCAAGAACACCCACTCACCTCCCACGAGCACAAGGACAAGGTGCATGAGTAGGGATTTTGCTCAGTGCTGGGCCTTGTGCAGGAGCATATTTTGGAAAAGGAGTTTGCATCGTTGCAGGAGGGTTGGAATATATGACCGTTAAAAGATCCCTTCCAACTCAAACATGATTTTATAAACAGGACCTACTCAGACCTGAAGCATTTGAGTGGAAAGCCATCATCTTGAGATAACCCTTCCCATTCGTTATGATCAAGGCAAATCAAGTCAAAATTAAAAGGCATCCTTTGACAGAAATTTTTGACTAATCAGAAGGAATTTTGACAAGAAGCCAAAATTCCCTGTTTGAATGGAACATTACTGCATTCCCTGATTCTGTTAATGCTCAAACATTCCCCAGCCTGACCAGCTGCCCTGGCACCTAGCTGTTCTGCTCAGGATATAACAAAGCAGTATCCTTCAGGAACACTATGTCCAGAGTAATCATACGCTTTGTACAACCCAGTCGAAAGGGCTTCATCCTGAACACGTGAGCATGAGAAGGAGGAGATGGTGCTGCCCATTTCTTCTATGCTCAACTACCAACACCGCAGTGGTGGCAGTCTCTGCCACCAAGAGGTGCCAGGGAAGATGCAGTCACCATCCTCTAGTGCAGCACCAGCTCCCTCCTCATCAGCCAGGGCCTACACAGCAAGGGAGGTGATGTCCCTCAGGTCCCTGGGTGAAAGGGCACCTCCATTAATTACACTTCCTTCCCAGGAGGCTGCTCCAAGCTCCTCTGCTCTGGCCAGGCCAGCTGCAGGCACTCGCTGGCTGAAATGAGGCCAGGAGAGAAGAAAGAGGGAAAGATAAACCAAGCTGCAAGACAGAGCCAGCCAGGGAGAGCATGGCATTGTAACCAGGCTGTTGGGCTGTTTGGGCATAGGAAGGCAGCTCTTGTATTTCAGACTCTTAGGTATGTCTCTGCTTTGCAAAAACAGTCTGGGTGCCAGAACAGAAGAAAATGTTGAAACAATGCCTCTTTGCAAAACAGAAGTCATGTTTTCATCTGGACACCACGGTTTTGCTCCATCAAAAAATCAAGTGGGTGGTTCAGAAACCATTTTTGACGGCTAGAGATTTAAATTGTGTTTCTCTCTTTGTTTATTCCCACACCTATAATGATCAGTGATGTTTTTCTTATTTACAGTGTTTCAGAGCAAGAGCTCACACATCTAATGCTGATTAATTCTGCTGGACTGAGCAACTGGCTCCCCTGTGGATATCCTGTTTTCCTGTGAATCATCAGTCCTTCTTGAGACATCTTCCAACTCAGATCAAAGGTCCCAAATGTATTAGATATGAAGACATCAGACAGCTCTAACAGATTAGAAAAGACACACACAAAGAAATGTGTCCCGGCTTCTTCTTCCTGTCCTGCTGAAAACTGGCACAGTGAACACAATCCTAAGCTCTTGTCATAAAAAGTAGAAAGACAAAAAGAAAAATGGAGAGAGACTTTGGGAATGTAGTTTACCCAAAGATTTCTGCAAATTGCCCTTTCTAGGTATTTACACTTTTGTACTTACTTAGTTCCCTTGAAGTTCCCTTGAAGTTGGGAACTTCTCAGGCTAGATTCTCATCTGATAGAAAATGACATCTGTGAGCTTCAGCAAGATCTGCACCAACTGTGTCAGCAGAGGACTTGGGACTATTCCTTTAGGCACTGAGCCTTGCCTACAAACACAAAAATTAAAGGAACATGAACACCTGTGGTCTGTTTTTTTCAAGTTTATGTAGGCTGCTGCATCCTCCATGGTTTTACTCAATTTTCTATATAGCTACATGAACAACTGAAAGGGTCCTGTACCAGTGAAATGCCAAAACCTGAGGTCATGAGGTCAAACTAGATTATCTTAATAGTATCTTCTCCTCTTGCAATCTTTGCACACAGGTTTTATCTGATAAAGGAGTTAAAGTCTTTATTTCAGCAACGTTTGATCTTGAAGATTACACAAATAATTAGTCTTTTAAGCTTCTGAGCTTTTTTGTAAAAATAGAATTTTAAACTCTCCTTTTAATGGATGCCTTTTAATCCTTATGTTTAAGTGTAAGAGCCATGCTTGATCTAAGAAGACAGACAATGTGTTTGGATAGTCAGAAGGTCATTTTTATGGGAGTGTTTGAACAATGCATTGTGTTTTTTCCAGAAGCTCTTCCTCCAATCAGTGGAAAGAACTGAGTGAGGGACCAGAGGACAGTCTTTTGCTGTCATTAAGCTCATATCAAAGAAGATAGAATGTGCTGCTCTTACATCTTAGAGCGGACTCTGCCAGGCTTTTTTTTTTACCCTAAACTTCTAACTCTTCTTGTACCCTTCTGCACTGGAGGGGAAAAGAAACCCTTTTAACCTTATGCACTGTGAATACTCACTTGAAGGCAGTGGAGGAAAGAATACCCAGCAGGAATACACTCTGCAAACACTCAGCAAAGTCATTAGATCTGCATATTTTTAATCAATGAGGTCTTGGCAAAATAAAGGTTGGTGGTTTTTATCCAGACTGGTTTTTGTCCAAGTCCCTGGGTGGGGTTCAGCTGTTTATGTTTTCTTTGAGGAAAAATGTCCTCAAGGTCTGGTGCTGAGTTGTTCTTTGCCTCCAAAAAAACCCCACTGTGGGAGTATCAGCATATGGCAGAGTTGTGAGAGGCATGTGAACTGTGCCCAGAGTTTGCCCCTTGATGCAGCTCAGGCATCCATCAGGGCCACTGCAACCACCCAAAGGAGGTGGGACTGGATTTAAAGGAACTAGGACTAAATGACATGAAAAAATACTAACTTAGAAACAGAAACAGAAACCTCACTGCCCATTCCTGAGGACAAATAGATAATCTCTTTTATTTTCAGTATCAGTGGAATTTCTGTTGTTTTCATGACCTTCTCCTTTTAATTGCACCCATGTATGCAATACACATGTACTTAGAAATGCACTGAAAATAGTGATGGATGACATCGTTTTATGACATTTGAAAGAGGGGGGCAATTGTTGGTATGTCCAGTCTGGGAAGCAGTAGGAATACCACAGCATGTGCTTGAGACTTTGCTAAGCATGTAGGACCTTAAACTAGCTACTTCAACCTCCCTCAGATTCCTCCCTGTCAGTTCATCTGGGGCAGTGATGAGGGAGGTGGAAACTGCTGGCTTTTTACCCAGTGCTACTTTGTTCCCCAAAAGGGTTCAGACTCTTACCTCCTCCTGCTAGGTACCATTTACTGAGCACACCTTGTGTTCTGTATGTGCACAGTAACGCAGTTTTGTCAGGCCCATCAAATTATGCAATGCCTTGGATTGGAAGGGACTTTAAAAGACATCTCATTCCAACCCATGTGCAGGGTTGCCCCTCTTGTGGAATACTGACTAGACAATAAAGCTGTCAGAACGATGATGATGATGCCAAACCGTTCACTTCCCAGGGGAGAAGTGGAGCTGGAGGTTGTGTGTGTCTCACTAGCAATTATCTTGTGACTTTCTGGCACAGCATAAAAAAGAGAGCTGTCTGAGAAGGGGTTGGAGTTTGATGCTTGGGAAGGTGATGTGAAATACTTTTCAAATATTTGTTTGGGGCAGAAAATTAAGACAAAGAAGACAAAGCCTGGCCTCAGCATTGACACAAGCAGTCTCCTACCACTTTTGGGAAGGCCAAGATTTCGCTCATGGATTTTTAATGCTGGCAGAGACAGTATCTTACAACAGAGCATGAGCATTTCTGGCACTGTGGGGATTGCTGTTAATGACACCGGAAAGTGATTTTTTTCTATTTTTTTTTTTTAAGCTGGCATTGCTCCTTCAAGCAAATTAAAGTCTGATACATTCACATTTCTATGTGTCATTAACCCAGACACCTACTACAGGGCCTAAAGCTTGTGGCTGCTGGAGAGATTAAATCCTACTAATGCGCTTTTCCTTACACACTGAGGGAATCTGGAGTCTCTCCTTTTGAAGCTGACTTGCTATTTTGACTAATTGCTTCTGGTAACAGTTAATAGCCTTTTGCAAAGGCACTTCTTCTGCTGACAGCAGATTGATGTAAGGAAGGGACACAGTTCACATTTCCAAAGGGAGCATTGGGAAACCCATTACCAGCTTCATTAATCTGTTAATAATAAAATTAAAGTACAAATAAAATGTGACAAATTGAGTTCTGTTGTGAAAGTCACTTTAACAGGAGGCTCTGAATAAAGGTCAAAACAGACTCTGATTTCCGCTGTGTTCTAATAGTAGAATCAGAGGAGAGCATTGTAGAAACACTGTAATTAATCTGGCAATACTATAATTGTCCCCAAACGAGTTTGAGGAGTGATTTTTTTTTTCTTTTTTCTTGAGAACATTTACAAAACCTAGAACATAAAGCTCTGTCACACAACATTTAAGTGATAATCCAATTTCACAGGAAGATTTCAACAATGTAGGTATGGTAGATAGGCTTACCCTCACTGCCTGCCTTCTTGTGGCTGCTACATCAGTCAAAACTCAAGTTTACCCAGCACAAGGGTAAAAGAGATAGGAAAAGCCATGCAGGTGCAGATCTTCTAACAGCTTTCAAAGAAATGAGCCTGACATTGGAAACAAGCTTCACCAGAGTAAACCAGCCAGATCAGACATCCCTTTTCTGACAAGGATGGCATTGACTTGCCAAACCTGTTTAAAATTGAAATGGATTTACTTCTAGGGTTATCCCCCAAACCTACTGGTATTCTCTGCAACAACCTTCCTAGCCACAATCTAGGTTAGCAGGATATCTTAATCTAGACTCTATTCTTAAATAATCCTCCTGCTAAGACCTTCAGCTAACACTGCAGAAAAGAACCTGCTAAGAATGAGACTGATTCATCTCTCCAAGGCACAGTGTGAATGAGTCCTGTAGAAAAAGATCAAATTTATCAAATTATCCTTCTTATTACTGTTGAGCAATTGCACCAAGAGCAGTCAGTCACAGAGCATAATTTAGAGACACAGCTGCTGTGAATGGAGAGCTTCCTGCAGCCTGGCAGAGCAGCCTCTGCTGGGAGCACCTGAACCAAAGGCATGCTATTAAAGAACCCAGCCAGGCAAGCAAATACATAAACATGTTAATGCGAAGTGTTTGAGGAGAATGGCTCATTAAGTCAGGCAGAATAACAATACAGAAAACTAATAGCTCTATTTTAATAATTGGCAGGAGGAAAGGGAGAAAGTTGTCCTATTGTTCTATGCAAGCCAAAAGGAGTCTGTAGAGCCTCCTCTTCTCCAGTCATTTCAGGGATAATCACTGAAGAGACCAGATTTCCAGTTTGAGAAGCCCCATATGGAGTCAGCTATGTCAGGAATGATGTAAGGGGAGGGGGAGGATAAAGAATAAGGGAAGAAGAACAAGGAATCTTTATTACCTGGTCTCCTACAAGATGTGAATAGCTAGATGAGGAATTTCCCCAAAGTTGATGGATTGAGGGCCTGGGTAAGGCAAGAAGCCTGAAGCAGAATCCCATCAGTGTGAAAACACTCAGAGATTGGAAATGGGATACAAACTGGGCTTAGCAGCCAGAAATTTGTGTGGGTTATAGAGGAGCTCTTAAGCAGAGAGGCAGATGATGGAAGGGAGAGAGAGCAGCAAGAAAGCTGCTGGCTCTGGATGGATGAATTTTTCATTAGCACAGTGGTCTCAGAGAGGAAGCAGGACAGAGGCTCACATGAGCATATTTTTCTGCCACAATGTATAGCAAGCATTATTCTTATGTTCAGATTGACTCTATCTGCTTGCTTTACACTCAGTCACACATTTAATATCTATTTGTGGTAAACATCAAGTCAGACCTCTAATTCTTGTGGCAGTGATTTGAGCACTAGAAGTGGAGCAGTCCAGTCCAGTTTGGGTTCACAGAGAGCTAAGTTGTCTGTGCATGGGGGAAGATGGGCAGCTGCTTTGATATGTGTAACTAACCTGATTTGAGTTTTCTTTCTCAAGGACTCTCTCCAGCTAAGAGTACTATTTCCTACCTCCTTGCTCCCATTTCCCATCAGTTTTCCTATACTTTTGAAGTGGCTCTTTCTCAGACAATGTTTGTATAAGGCAAGGAAGACAAGCTCTAGTATCTGTCTTTCCACTTTCTTTTCTCTCTTCTGTTCAGCATAAATTTGTGCATTCTTGATCCAGTGTAAGCCTGAGGGATATGGCCACAACAACTGTAAAACAACACCTCCAAGTCTGTTTGATGCCCACCAAATTCCTGAGTCTTCCTTGAAGTGTTTGCTGACCACATCTGCTGCACCACAAGGAAGGCAGCTTTGTATTGCTACTAGTTATGTATGGGAACCTGCAGCTGCCTGCTGTAGAAGCAATCATGCCTCAGGCTTTCCTTTCTGTATAATATATGTTTCTCTCATAATTGCTTTCATTTTTTCCTTTCCCAAGAGTTCTGCCTTGTAAGAAATTAGAGAGAACAACCCTATGAAAAGAACTAATATAAAATGTGGAAGACCTAATGCCTGAAAGCCCAAACACAGCTCTGGTAGTCCAGTCAGAACATTATAACTCTGGGATCAGCATTTGCTCTAAGTCACTTCAACTCTGAAATTTAATTCTGCAAAGGCACTATTATTATGGCAAAAACATGGCCTTGCTGGCCAAGCACCAAGAGCCTCAGCTGAGGTAAACATCTACGTGTCTGTTGTGCCGGGGTCGTCTGTAGGAACAACCATCACA